TTTTTTTTTAAAAAGCAAGCCCAAATCATGCAAAATGTAATAATGAAGATGATGAAAAGATGTGTAAATGAATTGAAAAATATTAGGAAAAAAATATACACACATGAAAGTAATAGACATTGGAAAAATACATATAAAGTAGGAAATAATATTAGGATCATAAAAATGGAGAAAATGAAAAGATGTGTAGATGAATTAAAAATATTAGAAAAAATATATATGCACACAAAGTAACAAAAATAAAATCACCTAAATTATTAATTCAAACATATTTTTAACATCATTAAAAATTGTTAATTGACTTGATGATTTATTAATAAAAGGAACAATTTGTTATGAAATTAGAAATCTCAGGGGGTGGAATGTAATTTTTAAAATCACAGGAGCGATTCATATTTTAATAAAACCTCAGGAGATGTATTTATAATTTACCCATTAATTTAAATATTGTTAAACTTATTAACCAAACACTATACAATTACTCCTCGAAAGGCTGTCAAGAACTATCACAAGTAGTAAAAAATAATTAAAATTTTATTACATATTTTACATAATTCGATTTTCTTTTATACAGTTCAATACACTGTTTACTACAAGTGAAATCGGTGCAGTTCAGTTCGATTTTGCATGTTTTTGGACAGGACCAGTAAAATCGATTTTTTACATTTATGGCACCGAACAGACCGACCAAAATAGGTAAACCGGAACAGATTGGTAAATTTGATTTCAGTTTAGTTTGATTCAGTTTATCAGTTTGGGCATTTGATTAAAAAATTAGATCAATCCAATTAAGATATAAGGCAACAAACAACAACATAATTGCACCAAGACTAATTTATTAAATATCAAATTCAATAATAGTAAGGGATAATACTTATATATTATTTGAATGTTCGGCAAATTCAATATAATCGATAAATTTGGTTCGGTTCGATTCGATTCGACATAAAATCTTCAAAACCAAATATCAAACCAAATTTTAGGAAAACAAAATCTCAACACAGACCAACTAGCTGATAGTGTAGAAACTGACCGAAAATCGGTCGCTCTATTCGGTGTAGGCGATACATATTTTTTCGATACTATTTCTAACATTTTTCATTGTATATTGCAAAATTTTCAACCAATAACGGCCGTATAACATTGAATTCCATGGCCATGAAGGAGTAGTTATTCACTGTGGATAGTGACATTGATGTTACAAATTCAATTAAACAACTAATTTGTGATATTGTTCTTGGTTTTAATTTTTTGAAAATTAAATTTTTTATTTTTTGTATTTTTTGGTTTTCACTGATTTTTTTTATATTTTAAATAATTCTTTTAGTTTTTAGATATACTTAATATAAATGCAATTAAAAATTATAATATTTGTGAATTTAAAAAAAATTACTAAATACCAAAAATACAATAATTGAATATATTTTCATATTCTTATATATTTATTATTTTTTAAAATATTTTTTTTATAAATATTTTACTTTTAGATATATTTAAGTTAGGTGCATCTAAAAAGTAAAAAAATTTGCTTAAAATATTAAAAAAAAAACATACTAAGGACAAAAAAATACGAAAAACAAAAAACTCAGGCTCCGTTTTGTTTAGTTTTTGAATTTTTTTTTGAGTTTTGAGTTGTATTTTAAAAGATAAATTGTTGAAAAGAGTTTTAAAAATTAAAAATTTGTCTGGTTATGAGTTTTGAAAATAATCTTGAAATAATTTGAAGTATTTTATTTATTATTATTTTTTTTTTGTAGTAAACAGATGGGTGTGAGTGAAAATTTGATTGATTGATTGATACGTAGAATGTGAAATAATGAGATATGAGAGAGGAGAGAGGAGCGAGGAGAGAGAAAATAATTTTGAATTTTTTTTAAAAAAATTGGTAAATCAAACATGTTTTGGAATTTTTTTTTGATCCAAATGTTAATTTAAAAACTAAACCAAACGGTATCTCAATTTTCAAAAAGTTGGAACCAAACAAGGTGATAAGGTTCTGGGCTTGGGTGGATGGATCGGACCGGTCCAGGCTCTTCAGACTCCGGCTCAGGGGGATGACTCCGTCAGATGACCTGCATGCAAGCCCAGAGGGAAACGGGGGGAGTCCCCCAGTGAACCCTCCGGTGTGAGAATTAGTAGAGCAGAGTATGAGAAAAACTGTGTAGAGAGGGATTGAGAGAGAGAGATAGCTTAACCTTCTTTTTCCCCTCCTATCCTTGCTTATATTCTTTAGTTATCATTTTTCCTGTCTCTTATGACGTGCTTTTCTTCGCCGAAAGCCTGTGCCGTAGCTTACCTTGTTCAGGGTGATGGAGGCTCTGTTCCGGCGGGGGGTGCTGTCGTAATAAATGCTGTGATGGGATGCATTAATGGTGATGTGTTATGATAATAACTCTGCAGATCTTTGTCTGCTGATGTGGCCCGTGTCCCACCTGCCATGTGCCCAAATGCCATTGGCCCTTCATGTCTAGATGGCCTCCAGCTGTCCTGGGCTTTGCCAACCGGGTTATGCCATTGGTCCCAAGCGATGGGTTTGGGGTGGTTTACTGTGGGCCGTATGCCTTGTGGGCCTATCCATGTCACAAGGTAAATTGTTTCTCTTCTAAATTATTTGTTTGATACAAAAAATAAGACACGAAAAATGATATATTTTGTGACAAAATTTTAAGTTCACTTTTCACAAATTAAAAAATTTTATAGAAAAAAATTTAAAAATTTAAAAATTTTGATATAAAAATATATTATTTTCAAATTTTTATTTAGCGTTAAATAAACAATTTAAGACTGAAGGAGTGTATAGAATAATTTCTAGCCATGAACAACCTTCAAAGGTTGAACTTAGGTTGCGACCGTGTGAGTTTACTCCATAGTTCACTTTAACACCTTCCAGAGTTTAATTTACTACCTCTCAGGATTAGTCCTGATTTCCCTAAAAATCGGAGGGTTGGGGATACCTGAGTTATCAAAAAAAAAAAAACCTCCTTCTAGAGTTTAGAGAAACTCTTAAAATAGAACTCTTTATAAAATTTTATTTTAAAATTAAATAATAAATTATTATTTAGAAATCTAGAAAAGGCGGGCAATTAGATTGGCGATTTTTTTTGCACAAACATAATCCCTGTTTTTAAAATTTTTTATTTATTGAGGGATACTATTAGTACTTATCTTTATTCTTTGAACTCTTAATTCTTTAGTAATATTTTTTTCAACACTCCACTTAATATGAAATTTACCTTATTCATAATATTATCACCCAAATTATGCACACCCACCGCATTTGCACACCATCTTCATCAGTGAACGATAACAACAAACTCTCTCATTCAACAAACTGAAGAACGACGGTCTCTTTTTATTTTATTTTATTTGAAACCCTAAACCCATTTACAGTGAGAACACCATTGCATATCGTCTAAAATTGAATAACTGTGAACGATGGTGCTTTGATTCTATACAATTGCATCTTTTCTTCAAACTCGTATGGAGCTGAGGAATAGAGTCATCGGAAATCTATCCTCCAACATATCAGGGGAAAGACCTTCAATTTGAACAAAACGTTACTATTCGGAACTCACCTTCTGAACTAAATGCTTTTGTCCGGCATTGTGTTACCGAACAAAACCTTAACAATGGTAAACTAGTACCGAACAACCTCAAACAACAGAAAAATAATTGAAAACGACAAAGAATCATTAATTCAAGGATCGAGAAAATAGATGAACTTACCAATACAACGCCAATCTCGTTCAAGTTGTTGTCATCGTCTCCTATTGTTGGACTCATCTAAACTATTGATTTCTTATATCAATGAATGGTGAAAATAAATGAATGGTGACAATGATTTAAACCAACGACTTTAACCCATAGTGACAATGATTTCTAGTTTAGGGTTTAGGATTTAGAGTGGTGATAAGAGGATGAATACTGTTTAGGATTTAGGTTGGTGAATGGTCTCTATTGAATGGTTTGGTGGGGGTAGAGGTGAGTGTACAATATTGTAGAATGTGATTCTAATTATCATCATTTGGTGGGTGGATGTTCCATTAGAGGCTGTCCTTTTATTGTAATTTTACTTCAGATTATAATTGTAATATAAAAAATAAAAAAATAAGATTAAAATTTGAGAATTTAATGAATAAAGATAAGTGCTAATAGTAACCCTTTTTTTATTATATATTTTATTAAAAATATTTGAATTTATTTAAAAACTAAAATTTGAGAGAGAAAATTTATGATTTGGGTTGCAGTGCGAATTGGGTGTTTGTAGATTTTGATTGTAATAGGATTATAAAGTGTTAAGGTTTGAAAATTTTAAAAATTCAACAACAATAATTTTTGCCAAAATTTTGCCACAAAATAACTAAAATGACTACATTGGGATAAGTCATACTAGAATAACTTATCTCGCTTTGACTTTGTGAATCAAATCTATATAGCAATATCTATTCATCTATCTATCTATATCTATATCTATATCTACATCTATCTATACTATATATGGAAAATGTTTGAGGGCTCGAAATGCCTGGCTCGAATGCCCCGAATGCCCAAAACGACGTCGTTTTGGGCATTTCGTTTTTTTTTTTTTTTCTTTTTTTCCTTTTTTCTTTTTTTCCGCCATTTTCGACCTCTGTAATGCAGAGGAAGAGGGAGAGAAAGAGAGGGAGAGGGAGAGGGAGAGGGAGAGGGAGAGAAAGAGAGAGAGGTCCTCCTCCTCCGATCGCGTCTGCCACCGCCGATCGCGTCTGCCTCGCCTCAGCCCCTCCTCCTCCATTTTTTAGGCCCTCTCCAGTCCTTCCTCCCCCTCCCCCTCCCCCTCCCCCTCCTTCCCTTCTTCTTCTTCCTATTTTTTTTTTTTTTTTTTTTTTTTTTTTTTTTTTTTTTTTTTTTTTGGATAAGTAGGCGGGAAATGGTAAGAGATGTTAAAAAAAAGAAAAATGATCGGTAGCTCGAAATTAAGAGGCCCGAATGTCGTTTTGACCCTCTTTTTATTTTATTTTATTTTTTGTGTGTGTGGTTCTTTTTGCTTCTTTCTTCCTTCTTTTTCTTCTTTCACAGAGAAAGAGAGAGAAATAGAGAAACGAGAGAGGCAGGAGGAAGAGAGGAGAAGAAAACAAAGAGAGAGGGCCATGGAACCGCCATGGACGGAGATCGCGAAGTAAGCAACTCTAGATTTTGATTTTGATTTTGATTTTGATTCATGGGTTTGGGATTGATTTTGTTTTGATTTTGATTTTGATTTTGATTCGTGGGTTTGGGATTGATTTTGTTTTGATTTTGATTTTGATTATGTGGGTTTGGTTTGGTTTTGATTTTGATTTTGATTTTGATTTTGGGTTTGCTGGAACAGATTTGTATCTTTTTTCTCTTGGATTCGTGATGTCAGAAGTGTAGCCTCTCAACTTCAGATCTCCTTCTCTTGGCTAAATCCCTAGCCTCAAAATCTCTTCCTCCTCTTTGGAATGTATTTCCTCCTGTTTCTTTTAGTTCTTTAATTGCTTTTGATGTAAGTTCCTTTGGTTCTTAATGCAATGCTTCAACAGTTTTTCAAAAAAAGATCTCTATCTTTTTCCTCTCCTCTATCTCTTGGACTGATTTAAAACAGATCTGTATCAATTGGAAGAAGAAAAGAACTGATCAGGAAGAAGAAAAAAAACAGATCAAAACAGAGAAGAAGAAAAAAAAAAAAAACTAAACTCTCTCTCTCTCTCTCTCTATATATATATACCTAATGATGTTTAGAAGAAAAGAACTGAACAAATTTTTGTGATGATGTTTAATCTGGGTTGCTCTGGAACATCATAAACATCTTGATGATGATGTTTAATCTGGGTTGCTTCTGAACATCATCAAGAACAAATTGCTTGAACACCATCATCTGGGTTGCTCCTTCTTCTCTTCTTCTTCTTCAGCTTTCTTCTTCTTCTTCAGTTCAGAAAAATGCGAAAAAACCCAAAAAAAAAAAAAAAAAACACCAAAACGACGTCGTTTTGGTGGTGAGCCAAATTTGGGCCTCCGAATTTCGAGTTACGAATCAGAACTGATAACTAAATGTAATTTTCTCTCAAAAAGTTTAAAAGTCTATTTTTAAATTCTCATAATTTTAGAACTCTCTCTTTTCTACATGTCAACCCTCTTTAATTGTGTTTTATGTTTTATATTTTTCTTCATTTTCTAATTGTTTGATTAATTAAAATGAAAATTAATTTCATATCTTATAGATAAAGATTTGGATTTCAAAGTTCCCCCTATAGATAAATATATAAAAACTGATAAATAATTTATGAAGATTAATTTCATGGTATAAAGATAAAAATTAAATAATTAATTTTAAAAATTAGTTTCATGACTTATAGATAAATATTTGAACTTTAAAATTTCTCTCCATAGATAAACATATAAAAATTTATAAAAAAATAAATACATAAATATTTGAATTTTAAAGTTTCTCCCCATAGATAAACATATAAAAATTTGTAAAAAATAATTTCATGGTCTACAAATAAAAATAAAGATTAAATAATTGATTTTAAAAAATAAAAATAATAAAATTTAGATAAAGATATGATTTATTAATTTATATCTATCAAAAACATATATATCTATATCTTTATTTTGATTTACTCATATTTCGTTTTCTCCTACCATCCCATATTATCCTTTTTTACTTTAAATTTTTTATTTTCTGAAATGTCCTTATCTATAACTTTGATCTCCTTTTAAATTTTTAACATTTTCCTCATAATTTTTTTTTGAACAGTTCTCCACATAATTTTTATTATCCGTTATTATCTATGAAGTGATAAAGATATATGTATATATATATATATATATTTTGTTGGCTATGCCAAGAAGAATATTAATAATGGAATGATAAAGACTGCATTGGAGGAGGCGGCATAAAAATCTCACAAAATTAATTTCATCACTATATTTATTCAAGATAATAATTTAATATTCTTTCTTTTAGTTATTGAGAGTAGTTTGCTTTAGAATAATCATTGCTGAAAATCGTTCTTCAAAAATAGGTTGAGACCAATACGTTGCATCCCTTTTCTCATCATTTTCCTCAAAGGGTAATATATTATGTTCAGTTTATTGATTATGCACTAGGATATCAGCAAAAAATGAAAAGGTTATCAAAAATCACAACAACCAATGTCATATTGAAAAATGAAAGATGAGATATTTTTTTATTTTACTAAACATTGTAGAACCTAAATTATTAGGGCAATCCAATGCAAGAAATAAAAAATACTACTGTATTGAGTCCAAATAATAAATGAAAAAACATACCCATGCGCAATTAGATTTTTTTTTTGGTTTGTTCTTACAAAAATCCACTTCGGTCTCAATTACTCCAACAAACACTCGCGTTTCAAAGATCACAGCATCAACATCAGCATCATTCTTTGCCTCAAACGTTATATAATAAATACTTCCGCCAGCACAGCATACAGTTGCTTTGATGATCTTCGAAAACTTGAAGTTATATACCCTACCGGTTTTAAGAAAGATTTTTTTAACTCCAAATACGAAAAACAGTAGTATGTAAAAGAAATAAATATGTATTTGCTCGCATACAAACAAATAATAATTTTAAATAAAAATCATCAGAATAGAATAGGACACAAATCAAATTGAACTAGTTAATTAATTTAGAAGAAGAATAAGAACAAAACAAATTATTATTATGCCTCACTCGACTTGATCACTTCATCAAACTTCTGAGCCTCTTCCACGGTCATACAACGCATGCCATCGTTATAAGTACGATCTTCTTCTTAGAATCATAATAACGCTTTTTTTCTCCTTCTCGTTCTTCTTGTTGTTGATCATCATCATTGTGATTGTCTCCTATTTTCCGTTTTTTCTGCGATGGCTCAACTTGTCCTTGTCCTTGTCCTTGTCCTTGTTCTTGTTTGTTGAAAGACCCACATACCCAATCATCACCAGCCATAGTAGCCTTCTCTCGCTCTCCCTCATCTTTCGAAACCCTATCCTTCCTCATTGATAAGAGCAATTCTAATCATATTCTTCATTTTTTACTAGCTAAAATATAAAAAATATTTTTTTAATTTTTCCTTATTCATATTTTATTTATATACTCCAATGCTACTGTAAGTGTTGATTTCCGACCATACAACCAAACGGAGAACTCAGCTAGAGAGTACCGGAAGAATGGATTAAGCCCAACAATTTATAACAAGAAGATGAAAATTCGGCGGTAATTCGTTCACCTAGGGGCACTCTGACGATCAAGTCAATAAATTATATCTCTCACAGATAGCAAATAGTACTTAAATTCATAAGAAAGAACTTACCTCAGACCTACGAGGGTGCTCTGCTTTTTATAACTAGAAGTGACCTGATCCCTTTAAAAGCTCTACTTCAATGGACTCAGGCTCAATGCTCATCCTGGACCCTCATCTAGATAGAGATAAACCCTTCTTGAGCCTTATCTTCATCTATACTGAGATCCCCCCCTGTTCTAGTACTCTTGTCTCTTATTTTCTTATCTTGGATTTCAGCATTTCTTTAGATAACCTCGGCTTAGCCGAAATAATCTCGACAGCGTAACCATGCCATGTGGCACCTCGGCTGACACTTCGGGATCACCTTAGTCACGTGTTGTTGTTTACAAAATACTCCTACATAACTACCCCCTAGGTTTTATTACCTCAGCAACCTGAGGTGGTGGAACCTACATTGTTTCTCTAACCAACACGTTGGCTCAAAACTCAGATACTACTCTGATCGAGATCATGACTCGTCGACTTCACGTAACTACGATTCAGTTGCCCATTTTATCAAAAACCAAGAACCAACTCTCAAGTTCGTTACACATCTTGACCGAGATCACTTCTCTGGCTGAGATCATGGCCTCATTACTTCAAGAATTGCAAGAATTTCTATTGCACATGAGCTATCACGCATAGTTTTTTCAACTGTTTCTTCCACGTGTTTCATTCTCATTGGTTCGAACTGACACGCCCTAGTAGGCTGCGTTGATTCTGTCCACACCGCCTGACAGGTACGTTATCCAAGGCATCTTATTATGGTTTGCCGCCTTTTTAGTTTTTTGACAAAATATTTCCCTCTCTTCGTTTTATCACACTTTTGCAAACTTGATTTCTCTCATTGTGCTCAGACTTTCTCTCTCTAAACTTTCCCTCTCAAACCACCATTTTCGTGTTTTCAAGCTCCTGCAACTGCCTCATTCACTACTTTCGGTGAACTTTTCATAATTTGTTTTCGATCATTCTCATCGTCTGACTTTAGCGATCTTCATCACGACATTCGTTTCCTCGGTTTCAATCGGTAAGTCACAAATTTCTTCTTCTTATATTCAGTTCTTTATTGTTCTCTTAATATGCTTCTTTGCCACATGTCTACATTGTATATGTCTTCATTGAATCTATACTCGTAGTTGTACTCTGTTTTTCTTTATTCGTTCCCTGATTATGGTCGCCATTTTTCATATTGCAAATCAATTTTTGTTCTTGAATCTGTTTTGTGCTTCGAAGTTCATCATTGTGTTTTTAGAGTGTCGATTGTATTGCTTGTGGTTATTACACATTTGCATACACCTGCTCCATGTCCATGAATTTTGTTGTTCTCTGTATGCAAATCTGGTTTCTTGTTTCCTGTTTATTTTTTGTGATTCTGGGTCACGTTTCTTTATGTTTTCTTAGTGCATTTTCCAGATTCTTGCATTCGATCCTTGTTTCTGTAGTCTTAGGCTTTGGGATTTGCTTTAGAACCCTGTTCTCTTGGAAAACTAAAACAAAAACCCAACCCAGGTTACCAAAAACCCTTTCTTAGTTGTTAGCTGAGATCTTTACTCCTTTACCAAGCTATTTACCACAAATTAGCCACTGAACCCACTTTAGCCGAGATAACGGGTATCTTTAGGTGGAGAGTTGACACCCCTGCTAAGTTATAATACTTTAGGCAAGAGTTCTCTATTCTAGTTGACGTTCACCTCAAGTTGGTTATAGGAAGGAAGACACCATTATGCTTGGGAAGGACTACATGTAACGCCCCGAGAAAATCCAACATAAATCTGTTATACCTATCCGTGTCCAATAAACGATAATAACAATACTCCGATCATTACATCATCAATTAACAAAATTTATACAAAAGTTCCACATGCGATTTATATATTCAATGATATAGAAATACATGAATCTATAGCATATAGAGCATCATGTTTCAAAAAAAAAAAAAACAATAAAATGCCCTTATGGGCTTACAATTTTCAAGGCTTAAGCCTGGTTACACAAAAATGGCCTCTCGGACCCATACATGAATAGCCATAGGCTAGCAATTAAATCATAACAAAACAGAGTTAACACTCTTCACAACATATCCACGCCCTCAATTTGGTGGGATCACCACGTCTTTTCCTGCACCAAAATCTCATAGGGATGAGTATAAAGCCCAATAGAGAATCCTTACAAAGTATATACAGTTATACAAGACTTTTCAATATCAAATGCAATGCCAATTTAAAGGAATTTCATGTACATGCCATTTCTTGAATATCATCATGTTCAACAACAAATGAAATCTCAACAATTCTGAAGCTTATAATTTTATTCAATAGGGGCGGTAAATACGACTCAGGTAATCCCTAGGTTGGTGTCTGCAAGTAGGCTCAACAAGCACTACCAATAACCCTACTT